ATCTCCACAACTCTTGGTTGACCACCACAACTCTTGGTTGACCACAACTCCTGGTTGACCACCATGATTCTTGGTTGACCATCATCATTTTTGGTTGATCTTCAAAACTCTTGGTTGACCCCAATGACTCTTGGTTGATCTCCAGGACTTTGACCAACACAACAGCTGGTTGACCACCATGATTCTTGGTTGACCCCAATGACTCTTGGTTGACCACCACGACTCTCGGTTGACCACCAGAACTCTTGGTTGACCACCATGATTCTTGGTTGACCCCAATGATTCTTGGTTGATCTCCAGGACTCTTGGTTGACCACCACAACAGCCGGTTGACCACCATGATTCTTGGTTGCTCACCATGATTCTTGGTTGATCTCCATGATTCTTGGTTGATCTCCACAACTCTTGGTTGACCACCACAACTCTTGGTTGACCACAACTCCTGGTTGACCACCATGATTCTTGGTTGACCATCATCATTTTTGGTTGATCTTCAAAACTCTTGGTTGACCCCAATGACTCTTGGTTGATCTCCAGGACTTTGACCAACACAACAGCTGGTTGACCACCATGATTCTTGGTTGACCCCAATGACTCTTGGTTGACCACCACGACTCTCGGTTGACCACCAGAACTCTTGGTTGACCACCATGATTCTTGGTTGATCTCCACAACTCTTGGCTGACCACCACAACTCTTGGTTGACCACCATGATTCTTGGTTGACCACAACTCCTGGTTGACCACCGTGATTCTTGGTTGACCACCACAATAGCCAGTGGACCACCAGAACTCTTGGTTGACCACCATGATTCATGGTTGACCCCAATGATTCTTGGTTGATCTCCAGGACTCTCGGTTGACCACCAGAACTCTTGCTTGACCACCAAAACTCTTGATTGACCCCTACAACTTCTACCCGACCTCCAAACCTCTCCCTTCACCCCCACCACCACAACCTCCTCCAAACCTCCGCCTCCACCACACCCCACCCCCAAAAAACATCTCCAGAACCTCCCCAAAACCCCAAAAAACCACCCCGGTTTTCAATTGAGGAACCGCCGGCACCGCCGGGCGCCGCAGTTGCAGGGCAGCTTGGCCGCCGGTTCCTCGATGGGGAACTTGTAGTCGTAGGTGAGCTCCTCGCCGCGCAGGATGCGGCGCAGGGCGAAGATGACGATGCGTTTGTGGCCCTCCACGTGGATGACGCGCGAGTAGCAGTTGGGCTCGCACGAGTGGTTGATGAAGCGCGCGGCGCTGCCGTGCATGGTGGCGTCCACCACCTCGGCCTCGTCGATGCGGAACATGTAACAGCCGATGCCCTGCGGGGGGGGGGGGGGGGG